CAGTAATAAGTGCTGCCAATGAACTTAAGAGTTTGCCAGAAGGTGCCCTGGAGATTTGTCAGGCTCTCTCAAGATTACTGACCCAACAGCAACGATCCCGTACATCGTTGTCTTGGAAGGAACAGTGAAGCTCAGGATGTCCCTGCACATCCTAGGCAGGCAACAGATGCGAGCATCCGACCCAATTTTAAACAGGGGAAAGCAGATCTAGGACCTCTGCAGTTTTAACAAGCCCTTTAGGCTTCTGGGCTGAAGCGCCCGTTGACAAAATACTGCAGGACGATTTCTGTTGTGTTTAATGCAGATTTTATGCAATTAAGCACAAAAAAGAAGTATTGGGAAAAATACTAAAAAAACCCAGTGGCATTTGGTGCAAGTAATCCTGAGTTAAATACATGCATTTGAGAAAATCTGCGCAAATCCACAAGAAAGAATTAGTAAATTTACTAAGATCACAATGTGGCTTGAAAAAGCAATTTAACAGCAAGTATCAGATCCACAGACCTGAACATACTTTGAAATATTTCCACCTCTAAACACTACGAAAATAACAACCGCTATTGCAGAGGAAACAGTCACCACCTATTTTCTCTCTTATGAATGCAAACGCTATTGATTTGTTTTGACAAAGAGAGTAGCTGAAGTACTCGATAGTTTATTTCATGATTGAAATAACAACCAATGCAGGAAGATTTTGAAAAATCAGCCACCTGCAATATCACAAACTAGGACTCCTTTTCATTTTAAACGCGAAGCACCAGTGCCACAACCTTTTCTTACTTTCTTCTGCAAAGGGAGGCAATTGCTTCACACTGGGAAATGAATCCTTGCTTACTCAGTTGCTAACAAGCAGCAGAGCTCCAGCTTCAAATCAATAGTTAAAAGCACCTTCCTCAAATCAGTTAAATGCACACATAAATGTGGTGGATGCCTAGAAACCGGAGTGTTTGTTGCTGTGGGGCAACAGATGCCACAACGAAGTCGTGCTCTGAGAGACGATGCTGGGCTCAGGATAACTCAGTGCCTTCCGCACACGGTGAGAAATCTGAGCTAAGCTGGGGACAGCACGGGCAGCGCAGCTCCACAAGGGCTTTTAGGAGATACCAGACACCCTCCGGGCTTGGTGCTCTGAGCTCTGGGGCGATGCAGATGTCTGTGACCAGCCCTGGCTGCCGGCAACGTGAGAGGTAAGTGTGTAAGCGCTGGGCACGGCAGGGAAACATGGATGCTCTTTCCAGTCCTACCCCTACAGCTCTTTTACTGATGGGAATAGGGATCTCCCTCACAGCCCGAGCAGTTCTTTCCCAGCTGAGAATTCCCTCGCGCTGCAGAAACAGGAGCCTCAAGTGATGTAACCACAGAGGTCTCACCATCCTGGCACTAAAACAATGTGGCAGCGTGGGACAGCCTCTGGTTCCCCGTCTGTTCTTCATGCAGCAAGGAGAATCTGCCATCTCTAATCGAATTATTTTCAGCTGTGTCATATAACAAAGGTAACATCATCACAAAGAGGTATCGGGGCAAATCATTAGGCATTTCATCTGTCTGACCAAACATTTTCCTTTCCTGTCTAACGGAAGGATGATCTGACGCTCCTAGAACACGCTGGCTGCAAAGCTGCCCTTCATATTAAACAGAACATGTAATATTTTTCAACTGCCTTCCCTATTCTGGGACTTGCTCAATTTTCCTCTACAAGTCAGAATAAATTTTCCAGGCTTGCTGATTTTGCAGTCTATGAGGACAGCTTGCATTTATGCAACATGCACCATTTACTCGGACTATTTGGAGCGGCGTTCAGAGATGCTTACGAGTGACAGTAATAACAAACAGCCCCAAGGTGGGTTAAGGCACTTCTGATCAAACATACCACCTTTCTCCAGATGCAAGTGGCTAAGAAGGCAACTACTGTGGAATGGGTTAAATGCCTATTTTAAGATCAAACACGTAGCAGCACTTAAATTACTTGAAATAATTTAAAGAGTGTATTAAAAACCCTTCGAGTGACTTATTTCGAGCTAATTGGTAACACTAATCTGATGCCTGGGTTGAGTGGCACATTTGGTTTCTACTGCTCTTTTCTGAGTCTTCCACTTCTTTTCTTTGCTTTTGGCAGTCCCCCACAATAACTGGAGCTCGGCGGGTATGCCCTCTGCAGCACACGTTGCAAGCCAGGCAACATATAATAAATATATACCATCCTATTCAAATGTTCTCCACTGGCCGTATTATCTTTCTCAAACAGGACGAAGGGGTTCAGGAAACCTGGTGAGGTTAGCAGGGAACCGCGCACGCCAAAACATAACGTTGAAAGTGGATCCGTTACCTTTCTAGCCTCTGCATGGTCATGGCTAGCGTTTTGTTCAGTTCCTCTATCATGCGGCAGCCCGAAGGGTGGATGGGCAACGTGCTGGACCCCGAAGGCAGGTGCTGGCTGTGGGCGCCGTACTGGAGCTGGTGCTGGTGAGCTGCTAACTGGGATGGCAGGACAGTGTGATGGTGCTGGGTCAAAGGCTGCTGGGAGCTCTTCTGCGTGGAATAGGATGAGAGAGAGAGGTCCGGCCCCCCTAAAGGCATGCAAATCATGACTTTCTTTGGAGGTAGTGGAGGTGACAGTTTAACTGGCAAACAAGGCAGTTTCACAGGGGCGCCAGGATCTAAAACAGAAGAAAGAGAGGCCCTGGGGTTAATTTTCATGCCAGTAAAGATCGAGCAGGTAGTAGGCTGCTATCATAGAATGGCCTAGGCTGGAAGGGACCTCAGAGATCATCTAGTCCAACCTCCCTGTTTTGGGCAGGGACGCCACCTCTCGACTAGACCTGGCAACACATGGGGACCAAGCGGGAATCGAACCCGCGACCTCGGTGTTGGTCCTTGTTGCCAGCACCGCGCTCAAACCACTGAGCTAAGGTCAATAGTCAACACAGGAGCATTCACCCCCTCCCTGCTGCGACAGACAACTCCGCGTGGTCTTCAGAAAAACCACTGTTGTTCTGTAGCACTTCCGAGTCTTGCAAAAATCCCCAAACATCCCAAGGCTGTGCATCCCCCTTAATAAACACGTTAAGCAATGCTTAACGAGGTTTGTGGCACGCTTTGATGCTTTAAAGCCCTAATCCTCCAAAAGAGCCTTGTGAGCTAAGGCACAGAAATAAGGGGACAGCGATTTGGTGCCTGAACTGACCAGCATCGCCGCTGGAGCGAAAGCTCCGGGATTCCTGATCCTCCTCAGCCACTGCAGTGCAATTATTACAAGTCACATTCCTTACAGCTGCGTAACGTGCAAAGCATCTGGTGTTAAAAATTGCATTACAGGGCAAGAGAGAAAAGAAATAGGGCTTGAATACTAAAGAGGAGCGGTGGGGAAAAACAAAGGGTACAAGAGGAGAAAATGATAAAGGGCAGACGATCGTTGGGGTGAACGTCTTCTTTTACAGAAGTCTTGGCAGGCACTTTCGCTGGACTCATGCACTGAATTCCAACCTTTTTAACTCAAGGCATGTGCCCTGAATCACAAAGGTGACCTGCCAGCCACAGACTCGATTGCAGGATGGAGATTCCTGGAGTTGCACCGTGAATTGTTTTCAGAAGGGAGAGGAAGCAATGGGAGGGCTTGTAGTTGCCAAGATGTAGGGGTGGGAAAGGGTCACAATGCATGCTAAGAGCAAAAAAGGAGAGCAAATATATGCTGTGAGCTGCAACTGGGAGTCTGCATTTAGGAGGAAGGCCAGGCCCTCTCCAGCCTGGAATACCACAGGTATTTGGCTCTACAACAGAGCTCTGTGTTAGTATTGCCTGTACTAGTACCTGTAACTACTAGCCAAGGTTGACACTAGGACTTCCAAGCACTAACACTTCCTGAAAAACGATTATGAAAAAGATTAAGAAAAAGAATGAGAAAAGGCCACGTGTGGAGCCAAGCTCAGATCTGACACCAGACATTTTTAATGGCTAGTCGCAGCTTCATTGCGTCTAGTGGTTTTACTATGCTGAGAACAACATGCTGACAGCAAGTCTTCCCTTTCTTCAAAGGGCTTACAGGCTAAAGACATAGGAGAAGCAGCAAAAGGAGTGCCGAGATAAAATAGAGGCATGGGGAGAAAGCACGCTTTCCATTCAGAGTGAAAGAGTTACAGAGAGCGGAACTCAAGTCTTTTGGCCTTCAGTGCGGTATCATATCCACTTGACACGTCTCTTGAAGGCAAAAGTTCTTCTGATGGCTCCATCAAGGCTGAAACCTAACTTGTGGCATTGCCAAACCACAGGGCACTGCCCTCTCCTCTAAAGCAGATTGCCTTCTGTACAGTAGGAAAAAACCATACTGTCATGATTTTCTGTTCCAGCGCAGGAGGGTCTCCAAGTTACTCAATTTTTCTTACACACACGTTATCTGTGTGCATTTCCACTTTGTATCCTGCATAAAAGAACGTAACTCTTCAATAAAAGGTAAATAACAGGAAAAAAAAAGAGTAGAATATATAGAGAAAAAGACTCCTATGGGATTTCTAGTAACAAAGTGTTTTCATACATTTGTGCTCCAGGCAATTTCACTTCTGGAGCTGGTCCTGAATTACAAAGACTGCACCGAGATCTGTACTTTCATTTTGAAAGGTGCAGCTTTGACTGTTAATTTTAGCTCTTTTTGCTCTGTGTCTCAATTAAAATCTTCAGGTGATGGTTCCTGTACCTGGATGTCCCACCCCTCTGTGTACAATGCAGGGGAGTCATCCTTAAAAGTGAATTCAAAGAGATCCCAACCGCAGGCATCTCGCTTCTGGCAACAGAATAACTGGAAGCATCCACGGGGTTTGCTGCCTTCTGTGATCCTAAAGATCAGAGCGATGTTGCATGGAGGGAGTGAGCATAATGTGCCAAATGGTCCAGGTATAAAGCAATCCTTCCATCCTAAAACACATATTTTCCCTCCTCATGCAAGCACTCATCTGGTCGAATTGTGACAGAGGCACTGCAGCTTTGGAGCTGCACGGGAGAACGAGTCTAACTTAATTACCCGAACTATCTGCACGCTCCATCACGAATCAGATGTGCATACTCTGGCTTCCACTTTTCACAACAAAGATACGGACCTTTAGTTTCCGCTTAAGTGTAAAGAAAGCCTTCGCACTGATATGCTTTCAGGAGGATCAGCGCCGGGTGACCCCACTGGGCACCTGCCAAAAATCTTGTCCATTATTTTTAATGCTAAGGATTTATTCGGACAGGCTGTATTTCACCCAAGTCCTTGAGCCTTTCTGAATAGGCCCTTACACCCAAGTACAGCCTTGAAAATGAACCAGAGGCACTAAATCTACTCATCTGCCCTTCACCTTCGTAAGAATTCTACTTGTCTGTTTAAAGAAAAAAACAAACAAACATCTAGAAGGAGAACGACTGCAATGGGAGAAGAGTTCTATCCATTCGCTCAGAAATGTACCAGTGTATCATCACTGACTTATTAACAGAGACTCGTATGCCAAGTTTTACTGTGCGGTTGGATCGACGTGCTCAACAAACGGGGACTTGCTCAAAGCCATGGGCTCCAGTGGGAAATTGCGCTACCGTCACCTGGAGTAAACGAGGGAACTACTTGTCCCTGCCCGTAGGGGTGAGATGACTGCTTTTTACAGTTCCGTCCTTTGTTTGGTTTAATTTCACAACGTATGTGATCTATGAACCAGAGGTGGAAACAGTTATTATCTCCAGCATGGAATATCCTTCAGCCATGGACATCTGTAGATGAGTAAGAAGCTGGACAGTGGAAATACGAATAAGGAATCTGTGATAAGGGTCTTCTCTATGGAACATTTACCGGAGTCTTTAATCACTGCACAAAGCACTCGTGGCAGAAGAGAAGCAAACTGTGCGAAGCCAGGTGTGCAAGTCTGATTAATCTTTTTTGGCTGAGGTTCTTGAGGCTCAAGAGAATAACGAGCAATTTTGCAAGATGTTGGTTCCCAGCAGGGTAGTGACCACTCAGCATTGTGCATGGTTAAGTGACAACTGTGCCAGAATGGATGAAAGAGATGTTAGGCATAGAAACCTTCTTACTGCTGATGACAAAAAATTATTTAAAAGACAGTTGCGGGTGCCGCAATATTTGCCGCACGTCAGGTCAGCCCATACCTTTTCCATACGGATTTTTTTGCTAGTACCTAGAGTCGCTGCGTTTCCTCTTGGGTTTTTCAGGAGACAGGTAAATGCATTTTCATTTGCTGCACGGCAGGTCTGCCCACATACAGTTCTTCCAAAGTGGTTGTGGCACACTGAAGTCGTACACTAACTACACTAAATCTGATGCTTCCCAGCCACTTGAACACAACCAAAGTCATCATCACATGTTGCAGATAGACTCCTAGGAAGTCCTGGATGTAAAGTGGCAAATATTGCTCCAGCAGGGCTGCTAGAAAAGGGTAAGTCCTGCCTGACCGACCTCGTGGCTTTCTACAACGGAACGACTACATCAGCGGACATGGGAGGAGCAGTGGATGCCATCTATCCGGACTTTGACACAACATCCTTCTCCGTAAATTGGAGAAATAAGGATCTAGATTACTGTGCCAAGCTTAGGACTCTGCAGGAAAGACATGAGAAACCCAGAATGGGTTGAGCAGAAGGCCATGGCAGTCAGTGAGGGCAGGAGGACCTGATCCACAAGGAGAAGCTGAAGGACTGGGGTTGTTTGGCTTGGTCGGCAAGCTTGTGGGGGGAGTATCTAACAGGAGTCCTCCAGTGCCTGAGAGCAGGTTATCAATAAGGTGCAGCGAGGCTCTTCACACTGGTGCATGGTGGGAGGAGGAGAGATAGCGAGCAAAAACTGAAACAAAAGAGGTTCAAGACTGGATTAGGAGAAAAAGGTTCAAGTGCTGTCCTAAATGCCTGGGTTCTGCACGTGGACACTGGAGAATTAAACCTATGAAGGAAATTCCATCTATGCATGTCACCTAATAATAACCATATCTGAAAACCAGGAGAGAGCTCACCAGGAGGTGACTGGTCAACAGCAAATGCCAAGCAGTGAAACCAACTAAGCATCATGTTTTTCTGCTCTTTTCTGGGTGATCCTTATCGAGGGAAAAAGCCAATCTTTGTCTTGGCAAAGGCAGGTAGATGTTTGAGATGGTTTGGAGACTCCTTTCAGAGGTGAGGAATGTTTCTTTTCTGTTTCTAAAACCTGTATTAATTCTTTTGCCAAACCATGGAAGTCAGTCTTCATGCCTTTATTGGAGAACTTGGGAAGAAGTTCGCAGCAAGAAGGTGCTCAGACTCAAAGGAAGCTCTTCTTTCTTTAAATTTTGTATTTAAAGTATTTCTTACTTATTTTTTTCCCTGCTGATCACTCCTTTAGTTATTTTATATTATGCTTGTATAAAATATGCTTCTATTAATTACACATATATATTTATCTTAAGACAGAATTTAAGAGCACTTCTGCATTTTCAAATGTCTACCTGAATGTTTCCCAAGACCACATTTCACCTTGTAGTCTTCTGGAACAGACCTACCAGACCATTAAACCACTGTTACTCTCCATTAGCCATGCCCAGTGAGTCTCAATTTGTCCTTCAACCTTCACACAAAATATTCGTAGAAAAACGGGAACATAACAAGAACAGAAAAGTTTTTGCCTTGAACGCCAGAATTCAGATTTTACATGTTTTCTCACACACAAGCTAAGGATGTCTCTGGAGTAATTAGCAAAAGAATAGCATTAATTCTGCTTCTCACTGAGGAGAGTGCTTCATTTAGGATTGATTGCTCATTTCCAAAGATTATACATGGCTAAAATAATTACCAGTGGGGAACAAAAGGCGCTGAACAACACGTATTTCCTTTAGACCACCAAGGTAAGCCGACTCTTAAGAATAAGTTTAATACTTTTATTTACAAGTTTTGTGTAAATGAGGCTTTCAGTTGCACCAGGAATAAATGTCAATTAAATTGGGGCCTTATGACTTCATCTGAATCTCTGTCCTTTCTCCCGGAGGGTTCTACATATGCACATACAAGAGTTTATTTAGGACAGGATCAGAGCCCAGCAAAGGCCACCACAAAGTAAGAGAAGTCACAGTTCTGCTTCACCTTCATTGGAAAGTTGTCACCATTAAGTGACTTATGCTGATAGCTTGAGCCTGATCCTACTTCACACAAAAAAAGAAGCACCAGAAGCCTTCACCTTCAATTCTTCTGCTACCTCTTACAAAAGAAAGGCTTATGAATGGAGGACGTTTAGTACCTGAGTTTTTTCCTATGCTTTTGCTATTTTATTTTATTTTTTTCATTTCTCCCCTGTTGGGCTCATTTCTGAGCAGCTTCTTGTAATTGGGACAGTGTTATGGGAGATCATAGGAAGCTGGTTTTGTCCTCACCTGAAGCCATTAATACGCTGCCTGGCTTTGCAGGCTGCAGAACTGCCCATTCAGTTTGTAACATAAAGCAAAATATTAACCATTACGCATAGATTTTGGCAGGCAAGAAAGCAGAGTTTTCACATAAAATGAACAAAACCATACAGAACAAAAACGTGTCGTCGAGCCAAACAGAAACATAAAAGACCACGTAGAGATGTGAGAGGAAACCAGAACACGCTTTTTCCTAACAAGCTCTTTCCTGATATAGATCTTCTCCCAAATAAAATGGATATTAACTGTCAAAAAAAAAAATTAAAAATCTAGAATATATTAACGCTGGCTGAGCATTTCTCACATCAGTCCTGAAAAGCTCAGGGCAATTTTAACAGGAGAGCGACTCAGTGAGAAGACCAGTAGCTGCCCCAGCACGGAGACGCACCACATCTCACCTTCAACTCGGGATTCCAAGGGGCAATTACGAGCAGACCACTCGAAAGGTGCAAGCAAGCATTTAGGGAACCTTTTACGGTCTGTGTAAATATGGTCATCCTTTGCTTCAGTGGCCTAAGCGAGGGACTGGAGAGAGGAGACGCATTGATGCTCCTGCCACGTGTACCCAGAGCTTTGAATCCCCAAAAGCCAGGTGAAAACTCTTGGAACACAAAAGAAGGAGCCTGTATGCTCTACTGGTGCAGCTGCCACGCAGCGAGAGGTGAAAATCCTGCTCGTGGGCAACTGGAGGACTCGCCAGCGAGAGGGGAGCTGCCAGAGCAGGGCTGGGAAGGGGGAGCAGTTGGGCAGGCAGGAGTGAGCAGCGGAGGAAAACGGCAAGAAGCCGTGGGACAGAATAGCCCGTGTAAGGGTCGAGAGGCCAAGGAAAAGACAAACCCATGGAAAGACACAGGGTGCGTGCACAGGGGAACCTGCCCAGCTGGCAGGCGAGGGGGGAGAAGGAACCAAGGGCAAAAGAGGAAAGAGAAACTCTCCCTTCTCCCCTCAGCTCTTGGCCTTTCTCTCATTAAAGGCATTTAAGGTGTTTTCCTGATACTTCTCCCTTTCCTGTCAGAGCACATCCTGCAATTTCTGTGGTGATGGTTACACCTTGATGAGTAAGAGTGAGGAGGGGTTAGGAAACACTCTTTGGTAATTACAGCTGAGAGAGGAAGCGCCCTGAGGCAACCTCCCCGAAGTTCTAGCTTGGAAAATGCATCCCTGCCCCTAGGTACAACACAGATACACAACCCGTACAACACGTGCGAGCAGTGCTACAGAAGGAGGGAGGACAAGGGGCTGCAAGGGCACTTCTTTACTCTAAGGGTGGTGCTGGGGGTCCAGGAACACCTACTTACCAGTTAAGTGGCTGGCAATCCTGGCAATGGGTTTAGGAGGCAGGGCGGGGGGCTGTTTGAGGAGGGACAACTGTTTCACTGGGGTGTCCTCATGGTCTCCAGGGAAAGCGGCAGATTTTTTGGGGGGAAGTAGCAGGACTGGCTTAGCTGTAGGCTCTTGGGACAGGAGGACGCCGGATTCATTGGATGTGGGGCTCTCTTCGGACACTGGAGGACACAACCACATCATAGACGCAAACAACGTTACGAGCAAAGCAGCCGCGGTTCGGACAAGAAAAGCAGCACAGCAACGCAGGTTAAGAGAGACTAATAGATTTCACTCCAACGTCAGAGAACACAGAGAGGAGGAGAGAAAGGAAGAGAGGAGAAGAGAAAGAAAAGGAGCAACACACAACTACACGACAGCCAAATCCCCCGTTACCTTTGAGAGAAGGCAGCTCTCTTATGCCAGGCTAGGACGTATTCCCACCTCTTGACTTAAAAGTGTCACATCTCAGATGGCCTGTCACCACAGCTCGCTCAGGACCAGACACGTTAGCAGGTGGTCTCTAAACTTACCCTACAAATGCAAAAAGCACCTCACGGGGCCTACTCCATCCCAAAGAGGCTGCGTAGCTGTGCAGGATTGCGGATGAACAATTCTACCAGACGTTTCTCCGTCTACAAAGCTCAGCATTAAGAGGAGCTAACCCAGATGTACAGCATTGCTGTCCCTCTGCATGGGCTGGGGAAGAAGGGCAGGGCAGCCTCGGGTTTAAAAATGTCACCTTTCTGCTCTAGGGCTCATCAGCACAGGCCAGATGTAGCCAGTGAGTTAAAAATCTACTCTTCAAGGTTCACAAAGTTCAGGGACTTTGCCTCCACACACAAAGAGGTCACTTGTGTAGAAGCAGGGGTTACTGCTACGCCAAGTCAGCCAAAACGTGTCACAGAGCACCCGGTGACAATCTGTTTGCCACCACCTCCTCCTCCACCAGAAGACCTTTGTCTTTGCCACGGATTTCTCAGGGCTAGAGGCCAAACACTTGACGTTAAAAAACTTGTTTCAAACAGTTTAGAGTACCGACACCAGAATGTAAACAAGGTGTTACCTGTCCCGTCCATGATCTCTGTGGTTGGGAGCACCTCGTATGAGCAGGGCTCCCCAGGTGCTGGACCTGACTCCAGTTCTGCTAGGGCTGGCAGGGACACCTGGCTGGAGCTCAGCACTTGCCCGGAGCCCAGAGGCTGCCCGTTCTCCAAAGCTCCGTCTTCATTTGGTATGGAAAGCTCCCCATCTGTTCAGAGTTGGAGGAAAGCACAACAACAACAGAAGACGCATGAGTAAGATGCAGAAAGAATTTAAAATTAAACCTCCTGTCTCCGTTAGCTTGCTTGCAAGCCAGGAACCTGAACTGAGACCTTGTGTGTACGCGGAAGACGTGGGGATAAGGATCAAAACAATATGGTCTACATCTCAAAAACACAACTTGCGCAGAGCAAATCTGGGAGATGTCTGACTGCGGTGTTCTGTCCGCAACTGTCTGACAGCAGTCCACTCGCCTTAAAAGGGGTTGTCAAGATTTAGGAAAGACCTGTCAAACATCTCTGTTGATCTTTTGCCTCCCCTAGGATGGTCACTATGACCCGTGGTCTAAGCTGGACCGTTCCTGACCATCCTCCAGTCACGGAGCCACGCGACCCCATCCAGGGCCACAAAATCTGTATTCCCTCTGTCTCTGTTGAAGCTGGGAAGCCAGGAATGAGAAATGGGCTGGACCTGAAGTTATGGAGCTTTCTTCAAGAATATAGAGCGTATAATTTATAACATTTTAATAATAATGACAAGAAACATTTTCTTCCCTTACACCAAGTTTTCTGCTATAAGGGACACAAACAAAATCGCAGTATGTCCCTAATTTACACATAAAAACATTACAGCTCCCAGCATCAAGGTTTTAAGGAAGGGAGAGAGTAATTTCTATAGTTGCCTGGTGTATGGTCTGGATACTGGGGTACAGTGGATTCCGTTTACAAAGTCTGTTTCTGAAGTTATTAATAATATCTCCTCTGTCTGAGCAAAATTTCTGTAAGAGCAGCCGGCAGCTTCTTCCCTGTCAACCGCCACTTCACATTAAAAATAATAAAGAAGAGAAACGAGGGATCAGATCATTCTCTGTGGTGTCAACCCACCTGATTTTTATCTCGGAACTTGTTATGCACAGCGCTCTGGTACTTGCAGGCAAAGACTGTGTGGAGATCTCAATTACAGTTTTATGAAGGGAAGTGTTCAGCCCCTATGGTTATGAGTGGAAGACTGAAAGTATAATGGAATGTTACCTGTAAGGCTAAAAACCGGTATGCAAATAAATGGAGGGTCATTTTACCATGCATTTTACCATGCATTAACTCAGGATCTTAGGATCTGGTTCTCGTTTTTTGTTTTAGCCATATTACTGCTCAACATACGGAGCAGAGATGTACGTCATGCAAGGGAGTGCACATCTTCCCCTCACAGGGCTGAGGTGTGCGAATCGCTTCAGAAAACAATACTGAAAAGAGAAAAAAAACCCCAAAGTCTGACTGAAGCGGCAGGACAGGGCAATTAACAAGCCTGGAAGTATGGCAGTTGATAAATATTCAGAATTATGGTTCTGCCTTTTAAAGCTTCTCTACAGCAAGTGAAGATGGTCTCCTGCTTATTTTGGAATTAGTAGAAATACCAAGCTCTTGACTTTTTTTGCTTTTGCTGGAGGCTTTTTGAAGACCTAGAGAGCTATTAGGTACAGAGCCACATCATGCTGTTCTGAAACCTTGCAGAGCAATCGACGGAGCTGGCTGAAAGGTGGCAATATTAATCAAAACTGAAGGGTCTGGCCAATTGCTTGCAGCACAGCCTCCTTCTAACCACTGCGGCCGTTCGATACACCCCCCTGTTTATTTCCCTAGGCAGCAAAAATCAAACAACAGCTCAGCCAGTATTTAAGCTGCATGTTTTTCCACTTAGCTATTTGGGTGGAAATGCTGCGTATTCTGTGTTTGCTCTTTGACAAAACACACGCCTTCACACGTGTTTGGGCTAGCGGCTGCTCTTGTCTCACTTACCCCGTTTTAGGGAAGAGCATTAACTGTTTCTTGCACTGAGCAACCATTTCTCGAAAGAAAGAGAGTGATTGTGTCCAGCAATTTTCATTAATTCAGTGCAGGACTAAACTTGACCGTAACTGCGAGCAAACAGAAACCATGCACGATAAAACCAGTAGCCTTTATTTTTTTGGAAGGATGCCTACACATTTTTAAGGAAGGGGGATGCCTACTGCATCGCGCTGAGCACTTTGAAATCTTACGGCCTTAAGCGCACTTGGCACTTCTCAAGGGACACTCAGCACAATTTAAGGAGGCAGCATTCAAATGACACGCTGAAGGTTTATGATTGCGAGTAGAACATGAAATAGAATGTTAGCTTTTACTTTTCGTCATAATATCAAACAGGACAGCTCTCTGTAGTGACAGCATAACCTCTTTCCATTTCACCTCTGAATATCTTCATTTAGACTCTAAAACTTATCCTTGGATTTGACCAAACCAGACACGACGCAGAATCCTGACTGAAATACACCCCCTAAACCAGATCTCGCTTAGAGAAGAGCGACATGGGGAGCTGCTCAAGTACAGCAAAGAGATCAAAGATGCGGGTAAAACAATTTGCAGAGTGAAGAATATCTTGGTGCGAGCTAATCCTGGATCAGAGACGCGCTTGACAATCAGTTATAAAAGGCAAATCACGTATTATTTTTAAAGTACTAAGAGCTATTCTGGTTAGCTGACATGGAGATGAAAAGAATCCTGGTAATGTGATTATTACACATATATGGAGGAGCCAACTGCTCTTCAGGAAGCGCCATGCTTTCCTGCACTATCGTCGCCAAAGCAAGCAATCAGGACAGGCTCAGATTCATAAATTTCTCACTACAGGCAATCTCATCTGTGTTCAGATATAAAAAGTATCATAATATTACAAGTACCTTTAATTATTTGACTGGCACCACAGCATTCTAAAGACAGCTGCTTTTGGGACGGTTACACCGCCACGTGAAAATCAAAGCTGTTTATCTGTGCGTGGGAGCCACGGCACAGCAAAAATGTAAGTTCTTCTCAACGCTGTGGTAAGTTCGAAGTCGCAGGTGGAGGCTGTATTTTTAACCTCTCAGCACTGCTTGCCCACAAGCTCTTAGAACAGCAGGTGCCTCATCAGGTACTTCTACAACTTACCATTTTTCCAAAAGTATACAGCATTTGGAAAAAAAAAATAAAATTACAACCTTTGTCTATGTTTTCAGAAGACTCAAGTCACAGCATCCTGGAAGATGACAGGACCTGATCCGGTCACGAGTCTGTCCCTTGCCAGGAAAATGCTCTCTGCAGCTCGGCTTCACTTGACCAGCTTAAGTGTGGAGGTCACCAGGGTGATAAAAGCGTTTCTTGTTTCCCAAACACAGCAGCCAGGCTGCAGTGGCTCTCCCGTGCGGGAACACTGGGACTTACTGCACTTTTACTGACACGAAGACCTCTGAAAAGGCAGCAAACGGGTCAGAGCGTCATTTCAAACAGCAGGCGGACAATCTCTAAATGCTGTTTTTCTTCAGCACGGAAGACAGGACAAAACCAACACTAAGAACACTGGCAAGCGCCAGGATTTTTGGGTCGGCCCATCCATACTGAGTTTCCTTTGATCTGTGTGGACTTTTTTAAGGACGAAAAAGGCAGAATTGCTCACTGGCTGATTCTGTTTGCTTTATCCACCTCTCAGGAAAGGGAGACAAAGAGATGTAACGTTATGGCTGTACCTACTGTCTGTGCAAGACACCTCTTGGCATGGAAGGCTCTACCAGCACCACATAAAGCCTTCTGCTACAAACTGCCAAAGTCTGCTGTGTCTTCTTGAAGGACTCGAGCTCACCTAACAGGAATTACAAGGAAAATGAACCTTCCACCTAAGGTTCACAGTGAGACACAGTAGCCTTTATTAGAGTTACTCCCAGATTATTACACCACTGAAGGAAATACTGCTTTTTCTCTTGCCTTACTCATAGCCTTGTATTGTCAAAGCTACTCAGCCACTGCTACGGCTAGAAGTAGAACCTACTTCTAATAACTGTGGAAGTTTATAACTTCTATTGACTTCTGTTTTGTTAAAGACTTTTAGACTTTGAAATAACGAGGCTTTAAAGCACATGCATAAGCTCTACTGAATTTAAAAGGCAACTCTGGCACGTCTTTTGCTGTATTCATTCCCTTAGTCATTGACGAGGAAAGCAGCAAAGCAAATAAAAGCTGCAGTTAAAGATCGACACATACTAAATACATTTTGAATATGTGTGGCATAAAACAATGTGTTCATAAACCAGTGGCGCTCTGCATAAATAATATATTACCAACTCCACAAATTATTATCCTGAAAGAGGAATTATTATGTCTTCTGAGCCGTTTCAAGGGAATGCGAACTGTTCTGTGCTCGTTAGGGTCCAAAACCTCTAAATGTTTCCCTTTTCCACAACAGTTAATCGCAGAGTGACTCAATCAGACAACGATAACACATGCAGGCACGGACCTGCTCCACCTCCCTGCAGTCCAGGCGGCTCGCTGTGAGTTGCTGTGATTTTTATTTCTACTGCTTTACTTCTCTGATTAGGTTTCAGTTTTATTCGATAGGTAACTATCACACAGACCCACGTGGGCCAGCCCATGGTGAAATCGAAAGAGACGTTTGGAGGTTTTATTCTGCAATTCAGGAGTGTATTCCCAATTCCTCGTGTGACGATAATGTAATATCTGGCCGTAAAACTATATGGGATGGCATTTTAACATTGTGAAAAGAAGAACACTTACCTTTATCAAAAATTTCTTTCAGCACTCCTCGTTTTATAAGCTCCTCTCTGCTTTGCCTCATTGATATTTTTCGTTCCAAAGCTGTAAGCAAAGAAGAAAGGACGATATAAATAGAAAAGAAGGAAAATGCTTGTTTTAAAATGCGCTTGAGACAGTGCAAAAAACCCAAGAAGAGCTGTTTAATGGAGCCTTCTGCTTCCTTGAGGGGTGTCTACCCCCAAACCAGGTGTCAACGAGGGAAACTCCAGGAAAGCCACTGCAGTTTATCTGAACAGCCTGAGCTCGGAGGCCGTGGTCACTGGGGCGGCAAAACAACAGAGAGAAATTTCATGTTTGTTCAGCTCGGCAGTAATTAAACCCATGTTCCAATTAACCAAACCACCACAGAGGACGTGCGTTGAGGCGACGAGCTGTGAGCCAGCGAGCGAGGGGCTCCGGGAGCGAGTGGCAGGAGCGGCTTGTGCCTGCCAAAGAAAAGAGGCACCGTCGAGGGTGAATCGCTTCCGCCATATGCTCCCCACCCGGACCCGGCACGGGTGCACGCACAAACGAGCTGGGACTTCGCATCTCTGGTCTGCCCAAGGCAGGCTTAAAGGAATAAAAAAAAACCCCAAAAACCAAAAAAACCCAATCAAAAAAGGCTTCAAAACCCCCTCTTCATCCCCCAAAACACGAGGGTGTAACTTTTTCTGGCTGTATGCTTGGGGAATAAATTGCACTCGTACTGACACGCTGCACTTCTGAGCTGTCAGACGCTCACAGCTTACTACGAGTGAGGTCAGCTCTGCCTCACTCTTTTCCGCAGAATAAACCTAGGTTTCTTCATTTTTAAAAATAGTTTTGAACATGTATTCTTCAGGACTATACCAGGAGGTATAGTCCGTAGCTAATAAAAAACCCCAACCCTGAAGGCACCCTCTGCACTTCAGCATCGATCAGAATTAAAGGCGGGTCCCTTTGCTGAGGGGCAAAGACCCCACATCCGTTAGCCAGCCACAGGGTAGGGTTTTATTTCGGAGGCTGTTAACATAACCACAGTGTTTTCCAGGAGGGTCTTAGTCCCATTTGAAGAAGCTCTTTAAGGCACCTCATCGACTTTCACCAAAACGTTGATTGCTAAATCTCTTTTGAAAAGAAATACCCATCGATCAGACTCCAGAGTCACACTGCAGACTCCCCAGCTGAAGAAGCCTTCTTCTGGTACAACATTTAAAGCTTTTTTCTCTTCATCCTTAAGAATAGCCTCTCCAGAAAAAACAAACCCAACAGAATAAGCTAACTTCTGAGCTTTCCCCCAGCAAAGAAAGCGTCAAAACCCCGGCTGGGTTTAAAGAGCCATTTGGCAGCACCCAGCACCTCTTCTGACAGCTCTGAGTAAGTGCAATTTTCTCTCAGGGTAACAGCACTCAGTCTGTCTGAGCTTGCTCTTCACCAGGACGTCAAGCTGGGTGAGATGGGTAGCCAAGCAGCAGGTTCTGCAGGAAGGCACCGCTCACAAAACAACGGCGTCGGGGCAAACGCCGCTCCTGCCGAACTTTGCCATAAACAGCTACGTAACACATCCACGTTTTATGCACAAACGGGTTCACCATCTCAGCCTCCTGCCCGCTCGACAGCTGGCTAGGCAAGGCAGCAGCATCGCTATTGACTTCACGGCTAAAAAGTCCCACCACGTTATTAAAGAAACCCAGTAATTTTGTGGATTGGGGTTAAGGCTCCCCAAGGATCAACCACTAAGCTGGGCTAGCAGGACTTTCTGAAGAAGGGCAGGAGTTCCTCCTCCAAAACCAGTTGCTGGGGAAGATGCTCAAATATCGACCAAGAGTTCTCAAAGACTGTTTTTGCAGTCCAGATAGAATATATGTTTCTGGAAGACTGCATATACCTAATTTTTTCAGACACTCCCTCTTAGACGTAATCTGCTTCTGCTCAAGAATGAAAAACACCACAATCCTCTGAGTTTGAAGCTCAGACTAAAACAATTTTTTTTTTCAGTTTCTAAATCCTGTCTAAGTAGGTACAGGACTTAAAGTATTAATTATTTCCCTACTAAGCCAGTTTAATTAATAAGATATTTAGAGGAAGGGCATGCTGGGCTAAGAGCAGCACTGAATGATAATAACAGATGTTACACTAAAACTATGGAACATGCTGCCTCCCTTTAATATAAATCTTCCTCCCAAGCAAGTCTCGTAGATTTAAGTGCATAAACTGCTCTGCTACTGCTGGATCAGACAGAAAAAAAAAAATAATCGCAAGCACTTAGATGCAGAACTCATTAGGATCTAACAGCCTGGACAACGAAATGTTTTACTCGGCCTGGATTTCTCTGACAAAGGTTGCCAGTTCTCTTACGAAGGATTTTCTTTTCAAGCAGAAAGCTGATACAAAATAAATTCATCCACTCTCCATTGAAAAGGGATCCATTCACAGAAGGGGACAAATAAAAACCTCCGAGTTAATCCTTGATTCATGAGAACCTTGTAAATGCTGGGATGAGGAAAAATTAAAATATAATTAATATTTAACAAAAGATGTATTACTTCACTGTCAATTTTCCTGGGTGTTTAACCTTTTTTTTTTTCTCATTTGTACAATCTTCAAGGAGATTAGAAATAAGCATTAAGCCCTCTTTATGGGGTCTACTTAAGCCAGAGACTGGTTATCATCACAAATTCATCCCTCCTCCAAGAAGCCCACATTTGCCAGTTCATAGAAACGAGCGGAATGCACATTTCACGGCACAAACTCACAGATTTCGCCAGTTACGCCATTCCCTTTTAAGGGCTGATGAAGAAACGGTGGGAAACGGTTTTTATTAATGTTCCTGAGCCGGTGTTTTTTGAACTGGTCCCTCAGGAGCAGTGCCCCTGCGCTCTCCCAGCAGAGCTTTTCTCTGCAGCAGACCCATTAGGACGAGCAAAGCCTTGGCAGGGAGAGGAGGATTTTGCTGCCCCTCCGTTCTGGAAATCAGTTCTGTCTTTATATTCTTTTAACAAGCCACCGAGCCCTGTGACGGCAGCATTTGCAGGCTGCTGAGAAGGTGAAGCTCCTGCTGCCTCGGTGCCAAGCGCGTCTGCTGCTCCATTAACCACCCAAAGAGGCGTTTGACGCGGTTGGGATGGGTGACCTTTCTGTCCCACGACCAAACATCTCAGATGAACGCTCCCAGCCTGCATCTACCCAAGAACAAACCAGCCTCCTCTGCATCACTTGTCACGCTGCTGTGTTAAAACCAAGGGTTGGACTAAATAAACAAGTCCTGCCCTTTTCTTCTCAGCTGACAACCGACACTAAACCCCAGCCAGCTGGAGCTTCACCTCGCTCAGCCTTCGCCTTAAAAAAAGCACTTGGGGCTGCTTTGCATTAATTCTGCCTTCCAAAGGCCACTATAATTTCCATGATGATTTTAGGAAGCAAAAGGTCTTTATGCAAAGGGAGCTCGGAGCCAGAGCTTTCTGGTGCATCAGTTAAATCTGGATGCAATACTTGCTTTGCTAATAATTCAGATCCGAGTAATTCAAAACAAGTAAACCAATTGCTTTGCACGGCGTTAGGACAAACAACCATCAGCACTTCCTTTAGACTTGTAGGGAAGCAGAGATTTTTCAGGTGTGACTGATCATATATCAAAACATGTTACATCATCCTGAAATTCCTCCAGCTGTGTAGACTTTCTTGATGACCAATTGCAGCAGGATTCACCTGTGAGCCTTGGGTTTGACCAGCGCCAAAACACAGCTTGGCTGAAAAAAACTCTGAATTCTCTCCTCCTTACCCATGGTGAAAGGGAAGTAAAACCAGGGAAGGATCTGAAATCAGCCTTAAGAAAAGGCAAGATTTATACTGATCATCACTACATGCAAAACGCCAGACTGGAGGAAAATGGATGCGAAGGCAGATCTGTTAACATAGAATTGCAGGAGGTGATCAAAATACAGAAAACCACAGTAAGCAAAGACATTCACAACACAGAAACACAACTCAGAAACAGGGCATACAACTAGGAATTCAGCCGACACAAGGAAAGGGGGAGAAGTAAAATCTGAGCACCTCTACCATAATTAACAGAAGCAAGTGAAATCAAGAAATTCTAATCCAAGAGCAGATAGACCATATTTTTCTCATACAGAAGGACTGGGGGGAAAAAAAATAAAATCAAAGAACCTGCCTTCCTAGGGGAGGAAGTTAAATTTCAACCTAGATCAAAAGAAACCCAACATAATGGATTCCACAGCCAAGCCTGGCAGAAGATGAATACATGAAAATGGGAAAGAAAACAAGAAATCTTGACAAATATAACAAAAGGTGTGTGTTTGGAGAAAAAAAAAATCTAAGAAAACAGTAATAAAAAGAAAACAAGACTGCAGACACCCTTGAGAAAAACGCTACCACCCTCAACTGCCCAGCTAATAAACAGCAAAACAGACCTCCACTGTGCCAATGATCTGTGATGGTCCACAAATGGTATTTTTGAAAGGCTCCTATTTTCATCCCCTTTCGACATAATTGCTTTTCTTGTCACACTTGAGAAGCATTGTACACCAGGTTAGGGAGAAATTCAGAAAGCTGACCAGAATATTGAAAAAAACCAAGAAAATACCTTCCTTCTGTTCTTCACACAGCATTTTCACAAATTCCTAGGTAATACTAGGTCTCGATCTGGAAAGATGAGCCACCAACAGGTATTGCTCTCCAGAACTTAATGAGAAATGAGGCTTAATTAAAGAAATTTGCAACAGGTGACATAGTATGTCATCAAGTACACCTGCTCTGCAACTACAGTGTGAGTGCAGCACAGAAAGCCATACTCAGGGCACTCTGAGCGTACACAATTTAGGCACCAAAAACAGTAATGAGGGGTTGGCACCGACTTATTTGAAGATTTGCATCCAAGTAAGAAACGTGGCAGGCTAGAATAGCTCATGCTGCTACCAGCACCCTTGGATAAATTGAGCATAGCTATTACCTGCAGTGAAGCAGGTCCTAAGCGCCAGCAGAAGGCAGGTGAGACCACCCCTAGGACAGGGGGTCACAGAATCACAGAATGTTGGGGGTTGGAAGGGACCTCTAGTGATCATCCAGTCTAACCCCTGCCAGAGCAGGGCCACCCAGGGCAGCCACACAGGAACGCGTCC